ACTCTCTCTCTCTCTCTCTCTCTCTCTCTCTCTCTCTCTCTCTTTCTCTCTCTCTCTCTCTCTCTCTCTCCTGCCTCAGTGGGTTTGTCGGCCGTCTCGGGGAGGTGGTAGGAAGGCCTTGATTCTGACGAAGGCGCGACTCTTGCGTCTTTGTCGTTGATTTTTATTTTTTAAGAATAATTACAGCAAGAGTAGGAGGAAGGGGGGGGAGGGCGGGGGGGTGAAGGAGGAGGAACGGGAAGAGGAGGAGGAGGAGGAGGAGGAGGAGCTAACTCGACTAAATGGCAGCGACCTCCGTATCATTAGCTTCTTGCTATGTTGGATCGGGATCGGGATCGGGATCCATCCGCGTGCAAGACGAGGCTGTGTCGCCGACAGGAAGGAGTGTCCCGACTCACTTTGTCTATCCATTCCGATCCCGATCGTTATCGGTCGCGATCCCGAACTTCGTCGATCGCGGCAGCTCCGTCATCTTGAAGCGATACTCATCTAACGGTTCGTGTGAGTTGATTGGTTTGGGAGGTTTGGGGCTTGGAGAGGAGAGGAGGAGGAGGAGGAGGAGGAGCCGGATTGGGATTGGACAAAAAGGCGGGAAGCTGGGCGGGATGGCGGGAAACGAAGGGGCTTGGTGGCCGACGACATCATGCAGTTCCGCGTCGCCGAGCGGACGTGGGCGCTTGGCGCGCTCTGCGGCGGCCGCCGCCGAGAGCGCTACCGGTAGTGCGCCGCCGGCTCTGGAACGGCAGTCGGCGGTGTCCAATGAGGCAAAGGGGAAATCGACGGTCCTGATGAAAGTTGGAGGATCAGCGATGGCGACGGCGGAGGGAATGAAGAAGATGGTGGATCTGGTGACGTCTTCCAAAGAAGGGTGGCCCATCATAGTGGTGACAGCAATGGGAGAGACGATAGACAACCTGCTGAAGGTAAGGAATGGCATCGGCGTTGAACTTACAATATGGTGATGAGCTTTGATCTCTCTCTCTCTCTCTCTCTCTCTCTCTCTCTCTCTCTCTCTCTCTCTCTCTCTCTCTCTCTCTCTTTCTATCTCTGGGTCTCTCGGGCTGTCTGTGTATGTGTCTGTCTGTTCTCTCTCTTTGCTTTTCTTTCTGTCTGTCTGTTCTCTCTCTATGTCTCCGTCTGTCTCTCTCTCTCTCTCTGTGTTTCTATCTCTGGCTCTCTCGGCCTGTCTATGTGTCTGTCTGTGCTCTCTCTCTCTCTCTGTGTCTCTGTGTCTATCTCTGGCTGTGTCTGTCTGTCTGTCTGTCTGTTCTCGGTCTCTCTCTGTGCCTCTGTGTGTCTGTCTGTCTGTCTGTCTGTCTGTCTCTCTCTCTCTCTCTCTCTCTCTCTCTTCTACTGCCGTGTCTGTGCATCCATTCCCAATTCTCTCTCGGTCTCCGTCTCTCGCTTCCCTTTTTCCGATTTCTTTTTTTTTTTCTCTTTTTTTTTCCACTGCGATTTTCTCGTGCGATATTGGAAATGTGGTGCGGTTTACGTTTTGATCAGGTGTTATACATTATATTATAATATATGGCAACGACTGTTCGATTTAGAGAACAATGAAAAAAGAAATCGGATCGGGGTCGTTTATGATATTGGAATACGAATAAAATGATTTCCCAAAAAAAAAAAGAGAAAAAAAAAAGAGAAAAAAAAAAGAAATCTGCTACCTTTCTCGGCCTTTGGCTAAGTAGTGCAGTGTATCTGTTCTCTGTTCTTATCATTGTGCTTGATATCTTATCCGTGATATCATTGTTCTTATCGGGACTACACAATATTAATTTATTACTCAGTAAATAAAAAATTATAATTTCTGGGCCACGGAGGGGTCATACGGGTAAGCTTGCTTAGGGCGTACTCACACTGATTTAATGTATCTGATCGCATTTACGCCCAGGCCTGGATGAATCTGACCGCAATTACGTTCAGAAGAAGCACAGAGGTGTGAGTATGTCCTTACTCGACCCGTCCAGTGTTGCCTATGTAATGCACTGTCGCAGACCTCAAAAAAAAAAAAAATCGAGAAAAAAAAAAAAAAGGACGCTCAAAAAATAAAAAAAATCGAGAAAAAAGAAAAAAAAAGGTACCGTCCGATCGTGCTTGAAAGAGATTTGGCTAAGATCAATTCTACCTGCTTCGCCCGAATACAACGTATACGGTCATTATTCCTGTAATTTAGACTGAAAGATATGCCAAATACATACAGCTAAAATGATCGTACGTTGTATTCGGGTGAAGAATGTAGTTTTTTTTCTGATTTAAAAAAAAGAAAAAAGAAAGAAAGCGATTTCTGCTCTATCACCTCTACGTTTTGTCCTTGATTGCTCCAGTGGATCTGTCAGAAAATGTACCTGGACGTGCAGATAGCCAGGTGCATGATCTGCACAGGCTACGTTCAATCCATTTGCATTCTGACAAACTTTTGTCCCCCGTTTTGCCCCCTCCTATCTTGCCCCGTTAGCCCAGTTGTTCCTCTTAAAGGGGTTGAGCGCGGGGGTCACAAAACGGCACTCTGGGCAATCTTGCTGACCTGCTTGATTAGAGAGACCCTACCCTAGTGATCCTTTCTTTTTTTTTTTTTTTTTTTAATATAAACCCAGCGTCTTGGTCCTGCTGTTTTTCCTTTTTCGGACTCTCTTTTTCTCATTTAGGAAAGCGCCACGTGGACTGTGTAGGCTTCCATTTGATTGCCTCGTGGGCTGTCTAAACTTTATGTCGTTTGTTCCCCTTTCTCCCTCCCTCCATCTCTCCCTCCCACTCTCTCCCTCCCTTTCTCCCTCCCTCTCTTCCTCCCTTTCTCCCTCCCTCTTTCCCTCCCCTCTGTCTCTCGCTCTCTCCCTCCCTCTCTCTCTTCCTCTCTCCTTTTGAGAAGTGTATCTGGCCGCAAAAATCGCTCGTATACATCTAAGAAAAGCATGGTGAGTCAGTGGGCTGACTACAGGCCGCCTAGGGGAGTTCATGAAAGCATAGGTCAGACGAGGAATATGAACCTGGCTGTCTGCACGTCCAGGTACATTTTCTGACAGACAAGAAACAGAAGGCACAAGATGGGAGGCATGAGAGGAAGAAGGTGAAGTAAGACACACAAAGAGCCATGGACACAGAAACGCGTAAACAGGCACTTAAAAATTAACGTATATATAGAAGCACTTAAAATAAACATACTTTGAGAAAAGCATAAGTTTATTGGAAAATTTGAAATTTCAGAAAAACAAAAAGGAAAGAAAAAAAAAAAAACAGAAAAAAAACAGAAAAAAAAACAGAAAACAAAAAAACGAAAAAAACAAAAAGGAAAGCAATTTATTTACGACATGGTTGTCTATTTGCTGAAACGGCTGCACTGCTACCGTTTTCCCCCGTACACAACGCACCCCGATAGTGGATGTGTACACAGTCCATCTTTCCGGTCCCATACAGTCATGATGGGAGTTTGTGAGAATGCACCCAGATCAGGAATGTATACAAGCTACTATGCCGGTCCGATGCAGTCATGATGAGGGTGTGTTGAGCTCGGGGGAAAGACTGTGGTTTGAGGAGCTTTTTTTTTGGGGGGGGGGGGGGGAGACCATGTTTATGGCATTATGCATAGTTGCGAACTAAAAAAGAAGAAAAGAAGAAAAGAAGAAAAAGGAACTGTGAAAACTTGGACGGGGGCTATGAAAAGGAGAGTTTTTTTAAGAACTGAATGTTTGAATGAATCTGGCTCCGTTTTCATATTTGATAATTTGAATGAATCTGGGCCCTTATTTGTTGCCTTGTCCATTTCGATGGGGAGGGAGGAGAATAAAAAAGGGAAAATGGAAAGGGAAGAGTGTGGGTGCAAATAGGAATGGCTCTGCTTTTTTTTTTTTTTTTTTTTTTTTTTTTTAAAGGAAAAAGGGGTGGCTCTCCTTCGTTCATTCCCGAACCTCAGACACGACGGGAATGGAGTTGGGCAATTGATTTCCTCCCCCCCCCCTCCTCCCCCCAAACCTTCTTGAGCCATTGGAGTGTAACCGGGTCTGAGCTGCAGTGACATTGAAAGTTCCCTTTTTGTTTTTTTCTCTTTTCATTTTCTTTGGATAATAATGGGTAGTAAATTTCTATTTTCGTGTTGGGGGAAAAAACAAAGGAAATCATGTCAAGGACTTGAGTGATTTTTTTTTTTTTTTTTTCCTCCCACTTTTTCCTCCCACTTGTATTTCCCATTTGGCTGAATGTGTACACCTATGTACCTGTTGATTAGGATGATGAAGAGAATGGATGTTGGGAAAAAAAACTAAAAAGTTAAAAAAAAAAAAAAAAAAAAAGAGAAAAAAAAGAAAGAAAGAAAAAAGAAAATAGACCTGAGTTCGAATCCTGTGATGCAATCTGATGAATATATAAAAAATAACTCCGAATTTCCCAACGGGCCTCACTTGTTACACCCGTGAACTGTTGAAATATAGACCCAAGATCGAATCCAGATATACAATCAAATGACCAGAATAGAATCATTTCTGAATTATCTGGGGCCTACCAGTTCTACGATGATATCTAAAGGCTGTCGCCCTTTTTTTTTTTTTTTTTTGATTGGAAGAACTAAATCCGTTTTTCTTTGCTGTGATTTATCAGGCAGGAACTCGAGCGTTGGAATTTGAAGCAGGAAATGTCGAGGATCTACATGAATTGAACCTGGTCTCGAATTTGTACCTGAGGTGAGAATCGATGGCTGTAATTTTCAAACTTCCGAAAACAAAGGGCGAAAAAACAAAACAAAAAAACAAAACAAAAAAAAAGTTAAGAAGCTGCGAGGTAAGGTGTGCCGTTGCCGCTACCGTCTTCCCCGCCGGAATAGAATGGACGCTCATGATGACTGTATCTAGACTGAAAATTTAGTAAATTATGACTGTATCTAGACTGAAAATTTAGTAAAATAATATATAATATAGGCTATGTGATGACCATGTGCATTGTTCGGGAGAAGGCCGTAGTAATAGTAGTAATACTCTACTTACTACTGGTACTGCTACGACTGCGAGGGAAAAAAAAAAAAACTACTTGGACTCCTACTACGACTGTGAGGACGATTTTTCTTTTATTTTTTTTTGGGTCCGTCGTGTGAGGTTCCCGCTTGGTAGGAGCACCTATTTTATAAATAACTAATAATTTAGTAAAAAATCTAATCATAGTAATAACAGGTGCTAACGGCGAACAAAAATGTAAAAAAAAAAACAAAACAAAACAAAAAAAAAACACTGATATGTGGGTTGAAAAAAACCTCGAATTACCGTTGACCGCCAGTTCACGGAATTACAGGAAGCGTCATCCATCACAGGAAAAAAAAAAAGAAAAAGGAAAAAAAAGAAGCGTCATCACTGAAGACGGAGAAGGTCACATGAAACGCAAAACCAACCTACGGGCATAGTTTTTTTTTTTTTTCCCTCTTTTTTTTCCCTTTTTAATCAGGGCCCAGTACCCAAGGCAAATGACGTCAACACAGTCACAATGAGGGCATTGGGCCCTGATTAATTAAAAAAAAAAAAGTTGGTCCTACCCTACGTAGGGTGCGGAGCCACGTTCCTGTTTACACAGAACCGACGGGCATTTTGATCAGATGGTACAGACCCGTGAGCTGTTGAAATATGAATCAGACCGAAGTTTGAATCCAGATGCAATCAGATTAATTAACAGAACAAATATAATTGTCAATTACCTCGGGCCGGTCAGTTTAATGATAACATCTCACGGCCACCGGCCTTCAAAAAGAAAAAAGAAAAAAGAAAGAAAAAAAAAGAAACGCAAAACCAACCAAGATGTGAAACCTCAAAAGATGACGAGTTCTCAGTAAATTGATAGGAAATCAGCTCAAAAAAAAAAAAAAAAAAAAGGAAAAAAAAAAAAAAGGATAGGAAATCAGTTTCCTAATTTTTATTTTTTTTTTTTTTTTTTTTTTTTTGGTGTGTGTTTGTTTTTTTTTTTTTTTTAAATTAACAGAGAGATGGAGGGAGGAGAGGGAGAGAGAGAGAGAGAGAGAGAGAGAGAGAGAGAGAGAGAGAGAGAGAGAGAGAGAGAGAGGCAAGCAGGAGGATTTCAGAGATGGTGATGTGGCATAGGAGCTGGAGGACGGTGAATGAAGCTGCCGAACACAGCGTGAGACAGCGGCAGAGACTTGGAACGAGTTTGAAAGTTTGAATCATGGAGGCAAACCGCCGCCCCGACCAGGCCTGGGTATTGCGCAAAGTTGCCCACCTGGTATGGAGGGCAAACAGGTTAATGCCGGGTACAGGCCCAGGCCCCAACGACGGGGTCCAGATTGCAAATTTGCTCATGTGCCTGACAGGGACAAAACGCAAAGAATAGTCCCAAAAGGGCATTCCGCTCTACCCACATCCTTTAGGGTCATTTTGGTATATATATCAAGTTATAGGGGTATTTCGCAAATTCTCTCTCCTTCGATTTATGCGTGGCGGCGATAGTTACTTTTAGACTTTCCCTGGATGTATCTGGCGGGGATGGCGACTAGATCTGGTCGTGAAAGTCCTAATAAGTGTACGAACATGCCCCTACAGTAGTCCAGACATAGCATTCTTTATCCATAGACTTAAACCATCGTCTTCTGCCTTGCAGGTCACATAAGCGACCCCATATCTCTCACCCATACCCCGCTGTGGGAGGGGGGTGGTTTTCGGCGCGCCGCGGCTCTTTGAACCACAGCTCCTTCGCCGACTCCACTCGTCTCTTCGGCGCGCTGCAGCTTTTTGAACCATCGCCAGCACATTTCATTTTCTTGTCACTGATCATCAATGATTGATTTCTGCTTGCCTGCCCCTCTCTCAGCTGTTTAATCTCTCTCTCTCTCTCTCTCTCTCTCTCTCTCTCTCTCTCTNAGAAAGAGAGAGAGAGAGAGAGAGAGAGAGAGAGAGAGAGAGAGAGAGAGAGAGAGAGAGAGAGAGAGAGAGAGAGCAGACAAACAGAATTGTATTGAGCAGGATTTGAACTCTCTAGACCGTTAGACTGCTAGTAGTAAGGTCTATGGATCGAGTCCTACGGCCGACTAACACGCATGTTTACTAACCTAGGGTGTTTAGGGATAGGTTGCAGGTTCAAATCCCACATAGGGCTACAGGGTCAAAGTACAGGGTACCGGGGTAGGTCTGTGGATCGAGTCCTGATGTCTACAACTGTTGGGTGAACTGAGTGAGTGAAACCGTGTCACCACCATTGCTGCGGAGGATTTTATATGGATGGGCTGGAGTTCTTCGGGAGATCACAGCCGTTGAAATGGAGATCGATACGGCGAAAGATTTGCATGGCCTCTGCACATTTTAATTTTTAATTTTAAACCACACACACACACACACACACACACACACACACACACACACACACACACACACACACACACACACACACTTCACCCCAGTCATTTTTCTCCTACGCGGCTGGCCTTTAACGCACTGCAAGTTTCTCGCCTCGGGGGGGCCTACTGGAGCAAAATCGCTGCCGGCGGCAGCCAAAAGGATGCAGAAGTGGAAACAGTAA